GATATGGTGCTCTTCCTTCAGCCCCCCACCCCCCGGGTACCCTTGTCTTTTGTTTTGTTTTTTATGTCTGATATCAGCTATTTCTAATGATATGGTCATCTTTCTTCAGACCCCCGGGTACCCCTTAGTCTTGTCTGATATCAAGCTGTTTCTAATATGATACTGCGCTTCCTCTTCCTTTCAAGCCCCCCCGGGTACCTCTTAGTTCTGACTGATATCAGCTATTTCTAATGATATGGTCCTCTTCCTATTCAGCCCCCTTTCCAGGTACCCCTTAGTCTGACTGACTATCAGCTGTTTCTAATGATATGGTCCTCTTCCTTCAGCCCCCCCCCCCCCCCGGGTACCCCTTAGTCCGACTGATATCAGCTGTTTATAATGATATGGTCCTCTTCCTTCAGCCCCCCCGGGTACCCCTTAGTCTGACTGATATCAGCTGTTTATAATGATATGGTCCTCTTCCTTCAGCCCGCCCCCCCGGGTACCTCTTAGTCTGACTGATATCAGCTGTTTCTAATGATATGGTCCTCTTCCTTCAGACCCCCCGGGTACCCCTTAGTCTGACTGATATCAGCTGTTTCTAATGATATAGTCCTCTTCCTTCAGACCCCCCGGGTACCCCTTAGTCTGACTGATATCAGCTGTTTCTAATGATATGGTCCTCTTCCTTCAGCCCCCCCCCCCCCCCGGGGTACCCCTTAGTCTGACTGATATCAGATATTTCTAATGATATGTTCCTCTTTCTTCAGACCCCCCGGGTACCCCTTAGTCTGACTGATATCAGCTGTTTCTAATGATATGGTCCTCTTCCTTCAGCCCCCCCCCCCCCCGCGGGTACCCCTTAGTCTGACTGATATCAGCTGTTTCTAATTATATAGTCCTATTCCTTCGGCCCCCCGGGTACCAATTAGTCTGACTGATATCAGCTGTTTATAATGATATGGTCCTCTTCCTTCAGCCCGCCCCCCCGGGTACCTCTTAGTCTGACTGATATCAGCTGTTTATAATGATATGGTCCTCTTCCTTCAGCCCTCCTCCCCCCCCCGGGTACCCCTTAGTCTGACTGATATCAGCTGTTTCTAATGATATGGTCCTCTTCCTTCATTCCCCCTGGGTACCCCTTAGTCCGACTGATATCAGCTGTTTCTAATGATATGGTCCTCTTCCTTCAGCCCCCCCCCCCCCCCCCCCCGGGTACCCCTTAGTCTGACTGATATCAGCTGTTTCTAATGATATGGTCCTCTTCCTTCAGCCCCCCCGGGTACCCCTTAGTCTGACTGATATCAGCTGTTTATAATGATATGGTCCTCTTCCTTCAGCCCCCCCGGGTACCCCTTAGTCTGACTGATATCAGCTGTTTATAATGATATGGTCCTCTTTCTTTAGACCCCCCGGGTACCCCTTAGTCTGACTGATATCAGCTATTTCTAACGATATGGTCCTCTTCCTTCAGCCCCCCCCCCCCCCCCCCCCCCCCCGGGTACCCCTTAGTCTGTCTGATATCAGCTATTTCTAATGATATGGTCCTCTTTCTTTAGACCCCCCGGGTACCCCTTAGTCTGACTGATATCAGCTGTTTCTAATGATATGGTCCTCTTCCTTCAGCCCCCCCGGGTACCCCTTAGTCTGATTGATATCAGCTGTTTATAATGATATGGTCCTCTTCCTTCAGCCCGCCCCCCCGGGTACCTCTTAGTCTGACTGATATCAGCTGTTTATAATGATATGGTCCTCTTCCTTCAACCCCTCCGGGTACCCCTTAGTCTGACTGATATCAGCTGTTTCTAATGATATAGTCCTCTTCCTTCAGACCCCCCGGGGTACCCCTTAGTCTGACTGATATCAGCTGTTTCTAATGATATGGTCCTCTTCCTTCAGCCCCCCCGGGTACCTCTTAGTCTGACTGATATCAGCTATTTCTAATGATATGGTCCTCTTCCTTCAGACCCCCCGGGTACCCCTTAGTCCGACTGATATCAGCTGTTTATAATGATATGGTCCTCTTCCTTCAGCCCCCCCCTGGGTACCCCTTAGTCCGACTGATATCAGCTGTTTATAATGATATGGTCCTCTTCCTTCAGCCCCCCCCCGGGTACCCCTTAGTCCGACTGATATCAGCTGTTTATAATGATATGGTCCTCTTCCTTCAGCCCCCCCGGGTACCCCTTAGTCTGACTGATATCAGCTGTTTCTAATGATATGGTCCTCTTCCTTCAGCCCCCCCCCCCGGGTACCCCTTAGTCTGTCTGATATCAGCTGTTTCTAATGATATGGTCCTCTTCCTTCAGCCCCCCCCCCCGGGTACCCCTTAGTCTGTCTGATATCAGCTGTTTCTAATGATATGGTCCTCTTCCTTCAGCCCCCCCCCCCCCCCCGGGTACCCCTTAGTCTGACTGATATCAGCTGTTTCTAATGATATGGTCCTCTTCCTTCAGCCCCCCCCCGGGTACCCCTTAGTCTGACTGATATCAGCTGTTTCTAATGATATGGTCCTCTTCCTTCAGCACCCCCCCCCCCCCCCCCCCCGGGTACCCCTTAGTCTGACTGATATCAGCTGTTTCTAATGATATAGTCCTCTTCCTTCAGACCCCCCTGGTACCCCTTAGTCCGACTGATATCAGCTGTTTCTAATGATATAGTCCTCTTCCTTCAGACCCCCCGGGTACCCCTTAGTCCGACTGATATCAGCTGTTTCTAATGATATGGTCCTCTTCCTTCAGACCCCCCGGGTACCCCTTAGTCCGACTGATATCAGCTGTTTATAATGATATGGTCCTCTTCCTTCAGACCCCCCGGGTACCCCTTAGTCCGACTGATATCAGCTGTTTCTAATGATATGGTCCTCTTCCTTCAGACCCCCCGGGTACCCCTTAGTCCGACTGATATCAGCTGTTTCTAATGGTGCGTTATAGTTTTAAAATGTGATGTTTGTCTCCCTCTAGCTGTGAGATTCAGCAACAAGACACCATCGACAGCTCCATCAACTGCAACAGCTCAACTGACCAGTAAGATCTGAGCCATAAAGACACTAAACACTTACACATTCATCCTGTAAAGCACGGTCACATGAGCAGGGATGTTTCTGGAAGCTGAACTCACGTAACAATGTTCAGAGCTCTGACCACCCCCCATCTTCCCCTCTGAACAGCTGTAATCTCATGAGGCAGCCTTCCTTCTCCGCCTGTCACAACCACACCGACCCAGAGCCGTTCATCAGCGCCTGCACACACACTCTGTGCAGATACCCGTCAGTGGATGGGGTCGACTGCCAGTTTTTGGAGGCTTACGCCAAGGCCTGCAGCCTGGAAGCCAACGTGACCCTGGAGGACTGGAGGTCGACTTCTGGCTGCTGTAAGACCCTCTTTCACTGTAATATTGACAGTAGTTGTGGTTTAATACACAACTGGAAGTCCCTGCGTTTGTATAGTAGCCTGAGTATGGTCACATATACAGGATACATGTAATATGGATGGTGTGCAGTGTTCCACTTCATTCTAGGTTTATTACTTCATTCCTAGTGATAGTTTATATAATCATTGTTATTAGTGATATTATTATGATAACTATGTAACACTGTGTATGAAATATTTTAAACTAGTCTAACTTTCATAGTTGGCTCCTCATATTGGATGTTTTATTACGGTAAAGAATGTGTGTGATATCTCCTGTATATGTGAATATATATCACTTTTATCAATATATTTTAAATATATATTATTATAAATTGTTATTTATACTGTCATGAGTTTTATAATCGTTATCTGAGATCTGCCCACTAAATGTGTGTGTGTGCGCGTGTGTGTGCGTGTGTGTGTGTGCGTGCGTGTGTGTGTGTGTGTGTGTGTGTGTGTGTGTGTGTGTGTGTGTGTGTGTGTGTGTGTGTGTGTGTGTGTGTGTGTGTGTGTGTGTGTGCAGCCCCTCCCCCTCTCTGTCAGCAGCCCTGCAGTGATCATGAGTTCTGTGGAGCACAGATGTGGTTGTCGTCTCGCTGCTTCTGTCGGGCTGGGTTCGCCTCCAAGTACAGAGCCACCAAGTCTTTAGGTACGGAACTGGAGGAGAGACGCTCCTGAACGCATCACATGTTCTTTAGAGACATTAGTAGTTATTCATATCATAAATCTAATATCATTATGTGACAGGTCATCCTGACCACAGCCCTTGAATGTACTTTTCTTTCTTTGGACTTTCGGAGCTAACCATCAGTTGGTTATTTAGCACGTTTTTCTCCCTGACAACGGTTAACTTGAAGTATTGGTGTGTTTGCAGGCGAGCCGCCGGTCTGCAGGCAGGGCTCGGCCACTGTGACTCTGGCTGGATGTCTGCTGATTGACAAAGGCATCGACTTCTCCACCTTACACCTCAAAGACCCCAGCTGCAAGGGCCACATGGACCCCCAGAGCCACCTGGTGACCTTCAGCTTCGACATCAGCAACATGTGCGGGACGGAGGTCATGGTGCGTGCTTTCCTCACAACTTAAAACCAGTTGTTGTGTCAACCTCTTTTTAGTTCAGGGGCCACAAACAGCCCCATGTGATCTCCAGTGGACCGGACCAGTGAGATCACAGCATAATGACCTAAATAACCACAACTCTAAACCGTTCCCTTTGGTTTCAGTACAACAAAGTGTATTCTTAAAAATTATCTCCACACTTCAGGAAACCAATTGTTATAGGATAGGAGCATGGTCGCGCGCCGTGCTTGTCGCCGCGTTTTGATTACGTCATCACAACAACACGTTAGGTTACCAACGTAACCCTGGTCTCTGACATTCGGTGAAAGCCGAAAGGGCCTTTTTAACCATTTTCGGCCGATAATTTTCGGTGGCCGAATATTCGGGGCATCCCTAGTTATAGGATAACCCTTTATCGAAGCTTCAATATACTTTCCATTACAGGACTCATCACTTCCTGTTGTCCTGTAGAGGGCATGTCCCACTAGTTTCCTTTATTGATGAAAGAAGGACACACGTGATTCATGAACTGGATGATAAAGATATGGCCGTCAGGAGGGAAATGTTTGGAGTAATGTTTGCGCTGTGATTAAATGAACTGATTACTTTTTCTTTCACAATGCAGAAGAACGGCAGCCAGATCGTCTACGAGAACTCCATCGTGTCGAGCAACCGCTCATCGGCCGGCGTCATCACGCGCCAAGACCAACTCAAGGTCGACTTCTCCTGCTTTTACAAACAGCCGGAGCTCAAGAGTGTGTCCTTCACTATCAGAGACAGGTGAGGGTCCTCCAGGTCCTTAATGCACCACAGCTTAACATTCACAATGCTAAAGAGTGTGTGTGGTGGTGTGTGTGTGTGTGTGTGTGTGTGTGTGTGTGTGTGTGTGTGTGTGTGTGTGTGTGTGTGTGTGTGTGTGTGTGGTGTGTGTGTGTGTGTGTGTGTGTGTGTGTGTGTGTATGTGTGTGTGTGTGTGTGTGTGTGTAGCTCTATGGTGCAGCAGATCGTATCTGGAGTGTGGAACTACACTCTGACGATGAGCTCCTTCAGCGACGCCGGCCTCCTGCAGCTGGTCGGCTCGAACACGGAGATCAAGCTGAACCAGAAGGTCTGGCTGCAGCTGGAGGCCAGGGGGCTGGACGCCAACATGGTCGCCATTGTGACAGACTCCTGCTGGGCAACCAATCAGGCATCACCTGATGATTCGCTGCGATACGACCTCATCATCAACGGGTGAGGAAATAAACTCTGAGAGTTAGAACAAAATAAACTCTGACTGTTGGAACAGAATGAACTCTGAGACTTCATGGTGTGTATTTCCTGTCTCCGGGCAGATGTCCGAACCCTGCTGATGATACGGTGCAGATGCAGGGAAACGGACAGGGAACGTCCAGCGTGTTCTCCTTCAACATGTTCGAGTTCTCTGGAGGAAGCAATGAAATCTACCTGCACTGCAAACTGGAGCTGTGCCTCACACAGGGCCAGGCCTGCACTCCGGTAAGTACTAATACACCAGTAAAAGTACTCCTTATTCATGGTGTTATATTACAGGATTATTATCGCAGTTTAAAGGACGTTGAAGAAGACCAGTGTTCCTGATAGAAAAAGTAGATCAGCTAACGTTAACCAAAGTGTTACCATTTTAGATGGAAGTAATCATCAAACATCCAAATACATTGATGCACAATGTATTTTTCTGTGTTGGACCCTGAAGGCAGCATCTCCCTGGTCCAATGGGATTTCTTTTTGGGATTAAGTCAGACAATAATCTCTGTGTCAAACAAACATTTGTGATTCTTACACGTTTAGTTCAGCGGGATAATCTCCACATATTAACACCTCTTTATGATTTCTGAAGTAAAAAGCTAACGCTAAGCTAAAGGAGGCTAATGTTGGGCTATAAAGGAACTACAGCACGGTCACATGACTTCACGTCACCACCGCTAAGCTAAAGGCGGCTAATGTTGGGCTATAAAGGAACTACAGCACGGTCACATGACTTCACGTCACCACCGCTAAGCTAAAGGAGGCTAATGTTGGGCTATAAAGGAACTACAGCATGGTCACATGACTTCACGTCACCACCGCTAAGCTAAAGGTGGCTAATGTTGGGCTATAAAGGAACTACAGCACGGTCACATGACTTCACGTCACCACCGCTAAGCTAAAGGCGGCTAATGTTGGGCTATAAAGGAACTACAGCACGGTCACATGACTTCACGTCACCACCGCTAAGCTAAAGGCGGCTAATGTTGGGCTATAAAGGAACTACAAGCACGGTCACATGACTTCACGTCACCACCGCTAAGCTAAAGGAGGCTAATGTTGGGCTATAAAGGAACTACAGCACGGTCACATGACTTCACGTCACCACCGCTAAGCTAAAGGAGGCTAATGTTGGGCTATAAAGGAACTACAGCACGGTTACATGACTTCACTTCACCACCGCTAAGCTAAAGGCGGCTAATGTTGGGCTATAAAGGAAACTACAGCACGGTCACATGACTTCACGTCACCCACCGCTAAGCTAAAGGAGGCTAATGTTGGGCTATAAAGGAACTACAGCACGGTCACATGACTTCACGTCACCACCGCTAAGCTAAAGGTGGCTAATGTTGGGCTATAAAGGAACTACAGCACGGTCACATGACTTCACGTCACCACCGCTAAGCTAAAGGCGGCTAATGTTGGGCTATAAAGGAACTACAGCACGGTCACATGACTTCACGTCACTAACTATAGTTGGAATAATGTTTACAGTGGGACACACTGATTGGGGTTTAAAGTCAATCAATCAATGTTTATTTATTGCCCAATATCACAAATGTTACATTTGTCTCAGTGGACTTCACAGTTTGTACAGAATATCAGTATGACAATACGACACCCTCTGTCCTTAGACCCTCTGTCCTCAGACCCTCTGTCCTTAGACCCTCTGTCCTCAGACCCTCTGTCCTTAGACCCTCTGTCCTTAGACCCTCTGTCCTTAGACCCTCACATCGTACAAGGAAACACTTCCGGAGAAAACCCACAGTTTTAAAGGGAAAATGGGAGAAACCTCAGGGAGAGCAACAGAGGAGGGATCCCTCTCCCAGGACGGACAGACGTGCAATAGATGCCGTGTGTAAATTGAAAAGATAATACATTTGCAACATAGGTAGTCCAAATGTTTGGAAATGCATGTGTGTATAATAGGAAGATGAATCCACGAGGATATCCATCCAGGACCTATGATCCAGGACCACAGCCACGACTCAAGATCCAGGGCTCGCGATCCAGGACAGAGGAGCGCAGGATCATCCATGACTCCGGATCCCGGCGTATATAGACACCAAAAAGAAAGACATTTGGGGAAGCTGGGTTAATCGGAACATGAGAGTACACAGGTATAGACAGAGAGAAGGAAGAAGTAAGATGTCCCCCGACAAACTAAGCCTATATCAGCAAAACTAGGGGCTGAATCTAATCAGCCCTAACTATAAGCTTTATCAAAAAGGAAGGTCTTAAGCGCACTCTTAAAAACGGATAGGGTGTCTGCCGCCCGAACACAAACTGGAAGCTGATTCCACAAATGTGGAGCTTGATAAGAAAAGGCTCTGGCTCCCATTGTACTTTCAGAGACTCTAGGAACAACCTTTCATAAAGTGAAAGCTAACTTCCTGTCTGTGAAGCTAACTTCCTGTCTGTGTAGCTAACTTCCTGTCTGTGAAGCTAACTTCCTGTCTGTGAGGCTAACTTCCTGTCTGTGAAGCTAACTTCCTGGTTGCGGACGAATAGTCCATTTAGCTTCCTAACTAGGGTTGGGTATCGTTTTCAGGAGTCCCTCGTTCTTATTGAACATCCATGTTGTAGTCCGCTGTATAGAAAACTGTAGTTTCCATAGTTACCCCACAGCAGCAGACGCTCATTCAGGACGTCCGCTGGCGCATCAGAAACACGTCGGATAGTGAAAGTGCATTAGATTCTCTAAAGTACCGCAGTCTCTTCTCCTAAGTCCTTTTGAATTCTCCTATCCACTATCCCTTAACCCGTGACCTTTCACTCAGAGGTCAAGGAATAGACGTTAGGGTTAGAATTTAGGAGCTGATTTTTGGATTATCCGACTGCAACCCCTGCCTGTGAAACTAGCTTCCTGTCTGTGAGGTTAAGTTCCTGTCTGTGAAGCCGACTTCCTGTCTGTGAGGCTAACTTCCTGTCTGTGAAGCTAACTTCCTGTCTGTGAAGCTAACTTCCTGTCTGTCTACAGAGCTGTGGGGGGGGTGCTCGCAGGAGGCGTAGATCTGCTAGATTTGCTGATGGAACCGCTGCCCTCATCACGATGGCCTGGAGTAATTAAAGAGCCTTACATGGTACGACCTTCATTCATTTGAACTAATGACATCCTCGTTGAATGACTCCAATAGAAATCATGACTCATCAGTTTTCCTGCTTCTTTCCTCAGATGATTCCCGACTTTGTCTCGATTAAAAAAAAAAGCGGAAATCTCCAGAAAACGGATCATCTTGGTCTGAGATTATTCCTGATGATTCCAGTTATTCTGAGATGTAACTTCTTTATGGTGAAAAAGAATCAAAGGGTTTAGAGCAGAGTCTCCAACACGTATATCGCGAGCTCCGGTAGCTCGCGGGCAGCTTTTCAGTAGCTCGCCGCTCGATTATGGATTATAGCGTAGTAAGGTTGCTTCTTGATTTTTCGGCCGCGCCTGGACAATAACGGTTTTTTATTTTAGAATTGTTTCTGTCACACGAATATAAAATTGGTCGGTGACGCAGAGATCCAGGAACAGACGTGACAGCGGCACAGCGGCACCACACACGGAGCAGTCTGCTTCCTCCACCAACACCAGAACCAACAGCAGAATGACCCGCTCTGAATCAGGCCGTGTCGCTGCGGCTCAGAGACACACAGGGAGGGATTTGTGTTTTTGAAAAACACTCGTATGAATCAGAGTATGAATGTCCTCTTGATATTTTCAGTTGATAAATACTCGTGTAAAGTTTGTGAAGGCAGGAGGAAAGCTTCCGCGATCACCGTCTCCTCTCCGTTCCTCCAAACCCCGCCCCCTCCTGAAAATAATGAGTGACAGGCTGACAGTGACCCGATAGAACCTTTATTATTCACTTAATCACTGATTGAAGCTAATTTAATCTCATACATTCATGGGATTCATGTAACAGTAAGACAGAGAATGTGAGTGTGCACCCACATGCACTATTTTAGTTGTTATTTGTAAATACTCCTATCTGCCGTGTTCAGACTCAAGTCCTGGGTGTGATGCCACAGGACATTCAGTGTCCATTCTTTAACAGAAGGCCGTTGCTAGAAGCTGCAGCTAGACTGCAGAAGCATTGTTTTTTTGTTTTTGAGGATGGAACAACTTCACACACAGATATAGGGAGGCTAGACCTATACAATTCATTTATTATGGTTTATAATTTAATGTCAAGAATGAGAATGTTGAATGAGAAGATGGCTGAAGCGTTCAGTGTCAATCCTGTGGAGATCTCCAAAATCATGTTCAGCTTAGTCTCAGCAAAACTCACAACATGTCTGGAGCCTTGTAGAAAACTCTAAGAACATCACCAAGCAGCACTGAACACATCTGCTTTATTTGGCTCTTTGTGAAGCAGCTTTTTCTGACATGAATGAAATCTAAATACAGAACAAGACCGACTGATGAACATGTAAATGACTCTATCAGTGAACCTAAGTGGGTCCAGCATACACCTCTATGGTGGACTCCATGCAGCGCCATTCATCTCATTAACTGTAAAAAATAGTGAATGCACTTATTTTACACACGTGCCATAAGATGCTGTCCGGTGGCGATGAAGGCGATGTGTTTACTATGTGGGCCAAAATAAGAAGTGAAAACATTTTCTTTTTCTCTTGGACATGAATGTGAATCTTCAGTGATTACTATGTGGGCCATAATAATATGTGAGACATTTTTGTTTTCTTGGACCTTGATGTGAAGTTAAGATTTGTGATAAGCTTTGGGTATTGATTTCACACGTGTACAACAGTAGCTTAATTCAACTGATGAGTGCTCTGTGAATACATGGAAGCGATGCGATGCAAGTAGCTCTCAGATGGAGAAAGGTTGGAGACCCCTGGTTTAGAGGGTTTCTTCTCGTATATATGATTTCTGCTTATATGTATTAATGACTTTGTATCTGTTAAATGTGCCCAGCCTGAAGCAGAGTTAGCTTGAGAAGGAAAACACTGAAGGGAAGGATTGAAATGTGGATTATCAAGTTAATGAAGTTAAAAGCTGTATTTTTCAGAGCACGCTGTGGTACAGATGTTTACTACGTCCAGCGTTCTTTCTTTCGCCGTGTTCCAGTTCTCTGGAGGAAGAAGTGAAATGTGCCTGCTCTGCAAACTGGAGCTTATTGCTATCAGCAAATCAGAATCACAAACAAATATAATAAAGGGAGTGGATAAAAACAAGAGCTTCTGTCTTTATTCCTCTTGTGTGTGTGGTGGAAATGAACCGAGACAAACCGACACATCATAATGAAATGGTGAGGAAACCTTTCCGTTATACTGAAATGAAGATTCTTGAAATAAGACAATCTTTTAGAGTTTATTCTCACAAGAAGGTAAATCGATAAAGGCAAGGCACGTTTTTTCATACAGCACTTTTCATCACGAGTGTTACAACCCGGCTCCTGGGCTGCAACATAAAGCTGGGAGGCGAGACGAGGGGTATGAATATAAGAACAGTGTATTCATAATAAACAAGCAAGTAATGGAACCCGCAACAGGTCCCCGAGGACACGGAGAGAGCGACGTGTCCGGCTTGGCTCCTCTTGAATGCTCCCAGCAGGTGTAGCTCATCCGGCACTGGAACCTGCAATCACCCACGAACAGACGGCACCCCACGTGGTGTGGAGGGGTCGTCACACAAGGCCATTCAAAGTGCTTTACAAGACATTAAGAGTATTAAGAAACATATTATGAAATGACATTTAAAAGCAAAGGAACATGAATTAAAGTCACAGTGTGAGACACATCCGAAATGTTGAGCTCTGACTCTCAATCATTGCTCACTTTTTAGCAGAATTAGTTTCCTTTGACCTCCTTTTCTTTCTACTTTCTTGTTTAACTTATCCTTTAGTTATTTCAAGTGTTTCATGCTGAACGAACCCCCTTTGGAAAATTATAACCTGACCCCATGGTACCTTGTAGTTTTCACCAAAACTATTCCTCTTCTTAGTTTCAAGCCGTCTGCAGCGAAGTACAGAAGCCAGGGGATTTGCAAAGGGTCTTATATTCACAGAATCAGACACAAAGGGAAGAAGAGGAGTGGTCAAGGAGTCCAGGAAACATCTTCTTGCTGCATGGAGAGCCTTAGGCCCCGTCCACACGGAGACGATATCAGTTGTATCCGCTAACGTTCTGTATCCTAAAGACCAGCGGTTTTCAAAGTGTGAGGCGCGCCTCCCCTGTGGGGCGCCAGAGAGCTTCAGGGGAGGCGCGGCGTGAGAAAAAAAATAACGAGAAAAAGACGAGTAAAGTGACACTTGCAGACTTTTGGCTGTCTGTGGAGACCGAGTGCCCACCTCGCCAAAAAGGCTGTAATAGTGCTCATTCCCTTCACCTCCACCTACCTGTGTGAGTGCGGGTTTTCCGCATTGACTTTGATCAAAAGAAAGTGCCAGTCGGCTGCAGCCAGAGGATGATCTGCGTTTATTCCTGTGTGCATCAAAGACGCAGACTCATTGTTGTTGTGAGCAGGGCCGCCCCTCCCTACAGGCCAATCACGCAGGCTGCATGGGGCCCCGCCCAGAGGGCCTCAGCTGCTGTGCGCAGTTCTCCTCTCAGTTCTCCGCGCACCACCCGCTGACACGCGAGAGTGAGAGGTGACAAGGGGAGCACGTCCATGGGAGCCTGCCTGCAGGCAGCAGTCTCAGGACACCTGCACTCTGAGGACAGGAAGTGCACGCTAAGAATTCCAAAATAAAATCGCCACTATCAGTACAGCGCCACTTTCCAAACAGGAAATGCACCCAAATACAAAATAAAATCGTATGACATCGTGACACTTATTATATACATATGTATATATATATATACATATGTATATATATATATACATATGTATATATATATATATATATATATATATATATATATATATATATATATATATATATACATAGATATATACAGACACCTTGTATTGCCTACAGCCGCAGCGCCACTTTCCGAACAGGAAATGCACGCAAATACAAAATAAAATCGTACTGACACTTATATATATTTATTTATATATTTATTTATATAAATACGACATCTTGTATTTTAGTTACACCCGCTAGACAACAGTGGAGGGTTCGAGAAACAACCGTGTTTGCCGGGTGCACCGCGGCGGAGGTGGGGAGGTTCCAGTTGGGAACCTCCACCCTGCTGCGGGACCCCTGGATGGTGCATCTTGGTCACGCTTCATATCGGCCGGCCCGGGAAGGAAGAGACATGCAGAGTGGGGGAAGTCCCCCACCCCAACGCAGCACACCCTCCCGGCCATTAGAGTCGAACCCGCAGTTCGGAGGAACCGACCGCCAGAGCACCGGCACTAGGACGGGCCGGTACGGAGGCCCTCCGACAGTGGGTCGCGTTTGCCATTCGATCAGTGAGAGGAGGGGAGAAAAATGCAACAAAAATTGTCAAAATCCGTTAATATATGAGTGGGGGGGGCTGGACACAGGCCGGGCAATGTCCCCGGTAGAAACCGGGTGAAATAGCCAAAATAATGAAACCGGGGAAATAGGGGGAAAAGTGAAAATAGGCACTCGTGAGGGGAGCAGAGTCTCCTGTCAACTCCCGTTACATTCCTCCATGGTGTCATTTCAGCGAAAAATGGCTAAATCAACTTTTACGAGAACCAGGCTGGGGGGGTCAAAAGGGCTTGACCAAGGCCGACCCAAAGTGCACGGTGGGCGGACTCATCACCTCCATGATCAGTCTCCATTGTGATTTGAAAACTTCCATCAAACGAGTCTATCGGGGGCGGGGAAAAAACGTGTTCGTCAGAATCGGCATTTCCTGTACTGACAGACAGTGCAGGTGTCCTGAGAGTGCAGGCCTGCAGGCAGACCCCTCTCAGCACGTCTGTAACCCGACACCGTTGCAATGAATCGACATCTGACCAATCACGGCTTTGATAGGGCCACTAGTGCAGGTGAAGAGATGTCGGTGAAAAGACAGTTTCAGTCCGGCGCAAGCAAGAGGGGAAAAAAACAAAACATGAAGAAACTAGAGCATCACTCGAAGGTGGGTTATTGTATGAGTCCTCTGTAAGAAGGTGTCGGCGACTGACATGCAAGGATGAATGGCTGTCCACAGGCTGTTCCAACTTTAACAACTTTATTAACTTCCAGGGGAGTGAATTGAACATGCAATTGTAATTGGGTTAGGTGATATATTTTTGTGCACGGACACACAAACTGAACACTCAATTTTCCGATCGCTACCAGTGTCCTTGCGATCTTGTTAACAACAACAAGTGCATGTTACTGATGCAATATGGTTGAGACCATTCGGGCTTATTCTAGAGGGGTGCAAGGAATAGTTCAAGTAGTGGGGGAGTTTTATACAATATGTTTAAAACATAAAGATAAAAAGGTTTTAAAAAGTTATTGTATAATGTTTTAAGGAGTTGATGCTACTCAGCCAATCAAATCGGTGCAGTCAGTGAGTCAGCACGATAGATTCAAACACAGAGACGAGACAAGAAGAGAGAAACAGTCTTCATTTTCTCTTACTGGACCTCTTTGAAATGCAATTGAATACCCCTGCATTATAGAAACAACAATAATAATAATAGCAATAATAATTGGGAGGGGGGGGACGCGGCTGTTCTTATGTTGTCTGAGGGGAGGCTCACCTTCCCACACTTTGAAAACCCCTGCTATAGACGAAGGTTCGTCCACGCGAGGCCGAAACGGAGCCGCAGCTTCGGAGCCCGAAACCGATACACTTTGATAACGGCTCCCAAAGTGGGTAAGTCTGGAGACGAAACTCCGTGTGTACGCCCTATCAACTCCTGAAACGATGACGCCATAGCCCCACCTCTCCTGCTCACCTCCGCGTCACCCGCATCATTGCTGATGCATTTTGCCAACAACAACAACAATGGCGGATCACAGGGTTGTGTTCGTGCTCCAGACGCTACTGACCATGATACAGATGTTAGTGCAACATCTACAGCTCCTCTACCACAACCATCAGCAACAATAATAATATATTATAATATAATAATAATAATCGTCATCGGTCTTATTCGCTGCTTTTGGTTTATTTTGTATATAGCGCCACTTACAGGCCCGGCATATGTACTACAGTGCCTCCAGCGGGTCGAGCGTTTTCGTTTGGACAGAAAACTTTTTTGAAAACGACGTTTTCGTCTCCGTGTGGTCGAGGCCTTAATGTCTGCATTCCTGCAGTTCCCGACCTTTTCCACTCAGGGCTCACTTAAGAATCTAAAAAATGTTAGCAGCCCACATTCAACCATAAACACTACGGAGGCTAAATTAAGTTCTCATAGTACTTTTTATTTTAATTAGAAAAGGATCTGGCCATCAGTAACAAACAGACATTTTTATTACACGGTTTAGTTGAATACTCGATTCTGATTGGTCGATTCAGAACATGTGACACATTGTTAATCCAGTAGAACAGACCGATGTCATGGAGTGTAATGACTGTTGCTAAGGAGGATCGCAAAAGAAAAAGGAAAGGAGGTTCAAATCATAATAATTATTTGGCGGCCCACTTGCAATGCCTTCGCGGACCACTAGGGGACGGCAGCCCACAGGTTGGGAACTGCTGCCTTAGAGGCTAAAGGTCATCAACCTTTCACAATAGAGTGGCGAAGTCACGCCCATCTACTTCCGGTCCATGGGACCTTATTTCGGAAAAATTATGTATTGAAGTCAATGGAGAGAGAAAACGTATCTTTCGATCCCGTTTGAATTGTGCCATGAATTACACATATGATGTTTGTCCATCTTAAAAAATCATTATAATATAAGATTATGAAAAATACGCAACTAGAAAGACTACAAATCCCAGAGTGATGTCATAACTGTTTTCCTCCACTAAGAGATAGCTAAGATCAGCGCCACATAGATAGAATCTATCTATATGGCGCTGGCTAAGATAAGATCACTTTAACAAGATGCCTGTGTGCTTAGTACCAGGTTGTTATCATACCAGCAATGGGTCTTGCTCGTTCTTTCGCTTCCCGTCTGATGAAAGGACCAGAGGCCTGTACTACGAAGCTGGTTCAACCTAACCTGGATATGTTTGAGTTAGCCGGTTGGCCTGATCCAAAACATACGCGCTCTCGCTAAACTGTACTACGACGCTGGTTATCAAGTGGATCGCTCAAGCCAGCCGTGTCCTATCTAGTTAGGTGCGCGTTCACATGAAAAGGGTGGTATTTGGA